CTGGGGAGCTGCCCCACTCATCCCTCATCCCCCAAAGGTTCCCTGCGCTGATATTTCTACCAAACTCTCCAGCACAGGCTTGGGAGGCCTGTCTCTTACACACTGAGAAATCCCAGCTTCAGATCTCCCTGTGTGCACCCATTTCTGTTTTATCCTCTTCCTCTTTTCTCTTCGTCTTTGGGTGGCATTTTGCTATTTTGTTTGGTTATAAAGCTGGGTTCCTGTCCAGCTTCTGTTCATCTGTCCCCTACCCTCCTTGTCCCAACAGCCACCAAAAGTTTTTCTTTTTTCATATTATGTATAATAAACAATTGAAATAAAATGACTCAAGATTTCATAGTGCAGACTTTATTCCCAGCCCTTGGGAGGTAGAAGCAGGAATAACAGGTTTTCCTCAGCTGTTTGGTGAATTTGAGGCTAGCCAGGACTACAAGAGTCCCTAGCTGAAAAAACTAACAATAAAAATGACCCAAACACAACAGTGATCAATCTGCATTATATTAATGTAAGGAATGTTCAAAAACTACAAAATACTGTTTTTTGATAAATATGGGCTGGAGAGACAGCTTAGCAGTTAAAAGTCCTGGCTGCTCTTTCACATGATCTGGGTTCGATTCCCAGCAGCTGCATGCCAGGTCACAACCATTTGTTATTCCACTTCTGGGGATCTGATGCACTCTCTGAGGGCACGGGAATACATGTGGGCACTGCATGCATTCGCTGACTGGTTCAAGAGCATACGTGCAGGCAGAACACACCTAGCCATAAAAATCAATATTTGATAAGAAAAACATAAAAATATTATTTACATTTTTTAAAATACGGCTCAAATTTTTAAAATAATTGCAATTTGAGCCCCTGAATTAGCTGGCTGTGTCCCTCATAACATCTACAATGCATACCCATCTTCCTTTTCTTCTTCTTCATTCCTGCTTTTTGTGGAAACTATGCACAGCAGCCCTTTAAGTAACTTTCTCAGGCAGAAGTTACTTACTAGATTTAGTGTAAAATGAACAAAGAAGGACAAAGTTGCATCGCTTGTCTGATCACAACTATGTAAAAAAGCTCAGGAAGGAGCTATCTTAAAATTCAGTTGAAACCATCTTTGGGTAGAGAGCTAATAGAATATTTAATTTTAATATTTAATTTAAATGTGTCTTTTAATATTTGATATAACTCTAGTCTTCCTAAACTTTTCATTATTTTCCAAATGAGTATTGATATCTTCTCTAGCTAGAGAAGACTAATTTTCTCCCCAAAACTTTTTTTTAGCTTTTCAGAGTTTTTATTCTATTTTCTTTTCTCCCCGCCCCCCCAACTTTTAAAGCTCTATTTCTAACTTGTGTGTAGGAATGTTTTGCCTGTATGTACGTATGTGAACTGTGTGGTGAATGCATGCAGTGCCCCGAGAGGTCAGGAGAGAGCGTCAGAACCCTTGGAACCGTATTGCCACGGTGCTGGAGATCAAACTCCAGTCCTCGGCAAGGGCAGCAAGTACCCTTAACAAGGAGTCATCTCCCCAATTCCCTCCCCCAAAGTCTTATTTATCAAGATTCTGTTTAAAATCTCTGCACTTCGCCAAGCCTGCTCTCTGCCAGCCAGACGTGCAGCAGCAGATAAGGGACAGCTTCGAGCCACGCCTCACAGTCTTGAAACTTCCCAAGAAGACCGCCAACCAAATCCACTCCCCGCCCCGCTCCAGCCCACGACGCTCTCTGTCCCCCAGCAACTCTCCCCGCTGGGAAGCGTGAAGATGTCCAAGCTCTTGGCCTGCCATGTCGGTTTCAGCAGTCCCTCAGATTTTCTTCCTGCCAATAGCTACGTGACACACGGCGTTAGGCAAGCGCGTTCACAGTCTTCCGAAGCGCACGGGTGATACGCTACTGCAGGAAACTCGGCCTGTGTGAGTGGGTCTGTGCCCACACGCCCTCACTCAGGCTCTGGAACGTTCCTTCCTGATAGAGCGCGGCCACCGCTCTCCAAAAGCTTTTGTGATTCAACTAGGACAGTGGGACTGTGGCTTCCCTGTCCTCGGGACTTGACCTTCTACTGGAATCCTTAATTCCCCACCAAAGCCACACGGTTTCCCTTGTTTTCAGAGCGGACTTTTTGGCAGGACTCTTCCTAAACAGCAAGCGGTCTGCTGCGCGGCTGGTTCTGGTGGTTGCGCATCCCTGGGCCAGGACTCCACGCAGCTCACCCTCCCACCTCCGTCCCACCGGCTGCCCACTTGCCCACTTACGCAGCAGGCGCTCCCTGCCATCCTCCCCCGCCCGGGGCTGCGGCCTGGGCTCGACCCCGGTGCCGCCAACAGCGTTTCCTCGTCCCATTAGTCTGTGCACTCCATCCGGCTGATCCTTTTTCTCCATCTCACCTTCAGCACGGACCACGCTGTTGCATCTACCTGCTCTCCTTCCGCTGCCTCCAAAGGCTTTACCCTGCCTCTCCAGCTGTCTGCTGTGAAGGTATCCCACTGGCTTCACATCCCAGTCCTTCAATGGAAGGTTCTCTCTTTGAGGAAAACGCTAATCCTACAGTTTCTCCAGACAGCAGCCCCCAACATGAGACCACAAGCATGCTTAAAACATAGACTTTTTTTTTCATGGTCTCCTTTTGTGACTCAGTTGTGTGGTAGATGACAAGCTTTGCCATTGTGCCCACAGAGAACAACAAGGTCATTGTTCCTGGACACAGCACCAATGTCATCTTCTCAACGTTGAAGATGACTCACTCTGGCAGGTCTGCTACGCTAGCCTGGACGAGCTTCCCAGCTATTTCAAACCCATTAATTCCTACAATCACAGTCATTTCTAGTGTGTAAACTAACAGCCAATATGATGCTGACACTCCGAGGGGGTTCATGAGGAACAACATAAGGGGAACGTACTCCAGCCTGACCTGCCCGATAGAATAAAACTAAAGAGCTCTAGACCTACACTTCTTCAGATACACTGGACACTCCGATGCTCAGCTGGCGTGAGTGGCTGCCGCCAGCTGTCCTGTTCCAGACACAACCATCACACAGGAAGTTCTACCAGAACACTCTGATATGGTTTGCAGGATGACACTCTTTTGTGCCGCATCATTTAAAATAACACAACACAGTGAAGTCTTAACACTTGTATTCCACATACTTCATCAGCAGTTCCTAGGAGTCTGAACCAGCACGCGCCAGAGACAAGAGTTTCGGAGTGGCCGCTAGGGGGAGCAGCTTCCCATTCCTGCGTCTGGCTTACATCTTCCTGCTGCTCGCGGCCATCCTCTCTGTCTCTGTGGTTCTTTCAAAGTCTAGTCTCATTTCTTTCATTATGTCAGGAGATTTTTTCCCCCTCTTAATTCAAAAGTTTAAATAAACAACAAAACAGATGCTAGAGTCAGAAAGGTGTGTCCATGGCCCTTTTAATAGATGGCTGCATGTAAGTCTGACTCAGTCCTCTCTCCCAAGGCCTTCCAGATGGTCCTCCTCAGAGGCAATGAAGTCACTGACCAAGCACTCAGCTCCGGCAGGGCTACTGCAGTTTAAGAGCAAAAATCTTCTCACCCAACAAGTACACCAGCAGGATACTGGGGAGAATTTTTAGAGCCCCAGATTAAAAATAATCCCACTGTTTAATACTTTTAACAGCCACGCCCTCCTCCCTCAGCAATCTGTCCAAGCAAACATTCTTCAAAGCTGACATTCCCAGGAGTGTGATGCAATTGGTAGAGGAGACATCCTGTATGCGTGAAAAACAGCCACACTCCCAGCTCTGGGGCCACAAGTCTCATCTAATCCATGATGTTCGCTTTTTTTTCCTCCTTCCTCTTCCCCTGTTCTGGGCTCTGGAAGCAAATTATTATCCTCACCTTATATAGCAACAGTAACAGATGTGTGCAAGCTGCTCAGTGCACAGCTAAGTTTCCGTTCCAAGTTCAGCAGCACCTCAGGCCCGGACATCCAGCAAACCGCATCTGGCTAAGGGCCAAGCCCAGAGCAACATACTCAACCAACACCGAGGGTGCTTCCTCCTGGCCTGCTCCGGGCTGCGGGATTTCCCAACTGTCGTAACAGCTCTGACACGTGTCTGCTAAGGATGCCAAAGACAATGCCAGGGCCTCCAGGAACCCCCTAGTGAGCTGCTTACATGCCTTTAAAAGTCAGCCATCTTTGCTGCTCCATGCACTCTTCTTAGCGTGAGCATTTGCCTCGGCCCCAACCTCCTCCCCTGGGGCCACCTCCAAAACAGCTCTGCTCTCGTGTACTGTCCGGGTGTGCCAGCTGCCTCGATGGACCACACCTGAAGGAGGCTCATGCACAACCCATGCACCAGGCACCTGCTGGCAGCCTGGTCCACATCCTCTTTCCCTACCAACTTCATCCGACTCCACTTGCTTCTAAATTATTCTAGGACTATTCTGGATAAAAACTAGCCTTGAGAAATACAAAGTACCTGGAAGGGAGACCTGGGAAAGGAGCTCAGGGGAGGAGAACAGGACATTTGGGAAGAGATGAGAATTCCCAGGTCTATGGAAAGAATCACCTCTAACCCTTTCCCCACTTAAGAGGCCCATACCCCACAGCACCTGAGCTTCTCCTGAGGCCCAGGGCAGGGGGTTAGAGCATAAAGGCCCATCTCTGCAGGAACCTACTGAGCAGCACTGTGAAGCACACGGAAGGGCGCCCAAAGTCTATTCCACCCATGGTCTCAGGTGCATCCCTGAAATGAAGCCCCCATTGACCACCACACTGAGATAATGAGGTAACCATGGCAACCATCATGACAGAGTCTGGCCAAGTGAAACTCCTCAGAAAAGTTCTGAGATCTTCCCGTGTATTTTAGGTTGTAAATGGAAGTTGTAATGACTGAAACATTAAAGAATATTGACCTAGGTGGGCTGAAAGAAGTAAGCAAGGCTCTCAAGAAAGAATATTTCATACAAACCTATTTTCTTTTTGTTCATCGCATATCCGGTCCACAGTAACCCCCTGGCCACAGAGAAGGCAGCATTTTCAAACATACCCAAATCTAGGCGGTCCTGATCTTCAGGTTCACTTAGTCCATCCACCTGGCTTTTGAGGCCCTGAAAGGGTCACAGGTGAGGTATTCCATTAAATTCCATCTTTACTGCATTCATGTTTATTCCTCGTGAGCCAGAATGACGCTCTCAGAAAACATCAATAAAGCCACATCTCTCGCATCACAACACGTAAACAGGAGACTCATCTGTGTTTATAATTAGCATTGGGAGCTAAAAATAAGGAGAGGATGTGTGTCCAGCTAAAACACACCCGGAAGTTGTCCACGGGTAAAGCAATATCGGCCAACATCCATGGGTGAGAAGCCGCCAGTACAGACAGTTCTGAGGGCGCAGTTAATTACTTTGTGCTTACAACAGTGACAACTTGGAAAGATAGCTAGGCTTGGTCATAGCGTCTACCTCATTGCAATCCTAAAGGAAAAAATAATGGATTTGGGACACACCCCTGCCTCCTTGTGGACTTTTATGAACTAGCTCAATTGTCGTGCCTACTCTAGACAGATACACAAAGATGCCAGCGCAGCCAGGCAACCATCATTCCTTACCTTTCCATCGTCCTCCTCCAATGGTGAGCTGCCAGACTCCAAATTCTTAACCTCTGCAAAAGAAATAATTCTTCTGTTACAAAGAGAGAGAGAGAGAAAAGGGGGAAAGTAGATGACAAGCATGAGCACCCAGGAGCCTCTGCACAGGATTAGCCAGGTTTAGATTCGGTTTCTTTGCAGTCAACCCCACCAGAGAGTGAAGTGCATGATTACCTGACGGCACGCACTGCTGTCCTTCTTGTACACTAAGATGCAAACAAGGCGGAAGCTCTCACCCCGGAAATCCCGGGGCAGCAGCAGGTGGGGGGGGGACCCAACACTTAAAACATACCAGTGCCCTTGACTGCAAAGGAAGGATGCTCACCCCTGAAGCCTCTCAACAGAGGCTGAGGATGTGACAGGTACACCTGAGGGGCCAGGCACCCCTTCCCCTGAATTCCACAAATGTCAATGGAAGAAAGAAGAAAGACTGATTCGTTCTAGAGAGATGCAGATGCCCCTTCTGTAGCAGTGAAAGCGGAGCCTGTCACATGCCACACACACACACACACACACACACACACACACACACACACACACACACACATACATACACACACACACGCCGACCTCAGCTGGCCAGGCTGGCTAAGCAGTGATGGCCCCAGATGCCCAGATGCCTCCCTCATAGCAGAGTGTTTCCTGGAAACAACATTCAGGATGTTCTGTGACGAGCAAGAAACCCAGATGAGGAGACTTTTTTTCCTGTTACTTGAACTGATTGGTTCTCTTCCCAAATAGTTTCCCGGAAAATGTGAAAATACCCATGGGTACAGGTTTAGCCCTGGGGAGATTAAGCGCTGATAGGCATAGGAAGATGAATAGTGAAAACTTACAGGAGCTTATAGGAATATAGAGGCCTGCTTTTCTGGAATCGCAAAGGACCTTTTTGATGTGGTCCCAGAGAAATGGCAGGAATTTCCCAGAAAGCTCCTTGGCCATTTGCCTCCCCTGTTAATTCAGTGGCCTGCTGCCTCAAACCTCCAAGTGGTTTTATTCAAGCTCTCCGTACTGCCAGAGGGTTGTCTATGTCTCTGCCCAGACCACGTACAAGGCCTTCTTTATACAGCTCTCCCTGACAAATCAGACGATAAGGATAACAGGTCGCAAAGACGGAATGAGAAGTGACAGGAGAGGAAGGAGCCCCTCGACTTCTCCTATCACATGTGTCTTCAAATGCTCAAGAATAACTGGCTCTGGGCTGAAGGGGTGGCCCAGAAGCTAAAAGCACTTGCTGCTCTTCCAGAGGACCTGAGTTCAGTTCCCAGCAGCCACAACTGATGACTCCAGGGGAGCCGGCACCCTGTGCTGACCTCCACTGGCCATACATGTCAGCGTGCCCACACACAACACACAAGCACACACCTGAGTAAAAATAAGTGACTTTTTTCAAGGACTAGCTGAATTAATTAATTAATTAATCTATCTATCTATTTATTTATCTCTCGAGCAAGCAGTGTCACAGTGATACTGGACATCCGTGTTTTGATCATGAACTCATAGTGATATTAGTTTTTATGATGAGAAGAAAAAAATAACAACCTTGGTTTGGTGCAGTTGTGTCAACTCTTCTCAACAGAGACGAGAGACGAGGTTGCACCGCGTCGCCCAGCCTGGTTGGTAGCTTACACAGCTAGCTTCCATGCCAGCTTTTAGATGCACTTCCCACATCTGGCCTCCAGGTGGCAGAAGAGCAATATTTGCATAAAGAAGAGCTGTACAGATGAAAATAGGACGGTTTTGCCTTTAAAGTATGCCTTTTCAGGGCCAAACTCCAAAGCAAAGAGTTAAAGCAGAGTTTTCCAGTCCGCTTCGCTGACATACAGACTTGGTGTGAATTTACATAGAAGTCCCTTTGGAAGCTCACACCTCCATGATAAAACACATAGAAGATAGCTACAGCGTGCCAAAGAAAGAAGGGAGTACCCAGAACCAAAGGTTGCAGACAGGAAGAGCACTACACAATTCCATCCTGCTGGCTGTGGACTATGCCCTTACAGCCACGTCAGAGCCCTGTGCTTCTAAAGCACTCCATACATGCAGGCGTTTATTCTGAAAAGCACCCTGGAAAAAATTACAGGATACGGCCTGTAATCACTTGCAACATTAAAGGCCTCATTCAGCTTTCTCGCTCAGCACCACCCCCACCAAAGGCAGACCCCATGATCTCGGCATATTTCCATTTCTGCATTTTCCCCTTAGTCTCCTGTGGCCTTTATTCCGCCTTCCTTTCTACCTTTTAAAACAACTGTGGTAGAAAAACTGACATCCTGGAGGCAATCATAGTACATAAAAGAGGCCGACTCAGAAAGACAATTATTGTGCACTTTCCTTCATTTGTGGTTCCTAGATTTCATATATATGTATATCCATGTACCTATGTAGTAGAAGAAGGAAAACTAGAAGCAAAGTAGACTAATAGAATGGGAAGAAGGTTGAGATAAGAGAGGGCAGGAGGCATGGGGAGTAGATTCAACATATATCTACTTAGCAAAAAAAACTTCAAAGAACTAAAATTTCAAATGTTTTTAGAAACTACTATACCCTGTGATAAAATGATAGCTTTGCATTATAATTACTTTTAACTTTAAATATGACTTTCAAATGTATAAAAATCCTCACTGTAAAATTAGCTTTGTGAAGGTGTACAGATTCAGATCCATACCACGCCTTTCATTAATTTAGAGCCACTCACCAGCATGACATCTCGGAGCTCTCCAGAGAATCTGGCACCTATTCTACCGGAGTTTGATTAAATTGCTCCAGGAGAGTTTCTGCTAAATTAGTGGGCTCCTTTTACACTAGCCCAGGGTACCATCAATTGCACAGTGCAATCAAACCACTCGTTGCTATAGCAACCTCCGGTTGATAACAGTATCAGTGACTCTAGTTATTCTGCTTTAAGGGCCTATTAATGTTGTCTTCAAGGCCCACCCAGAAGAACTACCTCTCTAACTCAGACTTACCAAACTCGACAAACATGTTTTTTTTTTTTTTTTTAATATTGCCAAACTATACTACAACAACAGATAATCTTTAGTACTTACTTTCACTAAGGACAAATAGGGATTTTTACCCCAGGGCTAAGTAGCTGTAAGATTAACATCAATGTCTCATTAAGAAGATTTGCCTGGAGAGAAACTCATCTCTGTGTACAAGCTTTCCTACCTCTTTTTGCAAGATGGATCAAGAGTCTGGACTCAACAAAATGTGAGCCAGAACTCTCTCACCTGCCCTGTAGCTAAGCACAAGGACCTGCCTCCGGAAGGGAAGGGGCAGGAGGAAGGTTCTCACTGAAGCCCCTGCCCACCTTCCACTCTCCCATTCTGCTGGCTACACCTAAGCCTGAAGAGAAGTCAGGCACACAGCTGGCCAGCGTGTGGCGCTGACCACGTGCTTGACTTCCCTAACACATATCCTAACGGCACCCTAAAGATGCTGTCCTCACCCTACAGCTCCTCCAGCGACAAACTAACTCACGCAGAATTCCATGTCCTCTTGGGTGTGTGCCACATGCCTGTAGTCCCAGTATTGGGAAGGCTGAGGCACGAGGCCACATAGTAAGCTCCAAGACAGGCTGAGCTACACAACATGATACTCTGTCTCAAAAAGCAAAACCAAATAGACAGTCCTTTTCTCCCCGTCGGCAGTGAAGACATTCTGGAACCAGACTTGAGGCTGGGACCAAGCTGCTTTGGAAACCAATGACTGTATCCCCACCTGTTACCTAGCAGGTGGGGATCAACAAGCGTTTCACACACAAACACACACATTTGGTGCCCCAAATACACCCATCTGATGAGATACAGTGGGTGTCAGGCCAGCTCTAGCTGGGGAGAGACAGCGGAAGTTGCTTGATCTGCCGAGCACTAATTCAAACCCTCGAGGTCCCCGCACTGTTTTATTGCTGACACTCTGGCCACCAGGCTGACTGGAAAGACCTGGGCTCCGGCCCCTGCTTCTCCTCACACATGTCACTCCGCCTCTCCACACATGTCACACCCTTTCCTCTCTCGTTTTGTGCTAATGTTCCACTGTTGACGTAGCACTTTCTGGGACTGCGGCTCTCAGTGTCGGACCCCCAACATGGTGAGTGAGACAACTCTCAGACACTCCTAGAACACTTGAACTTCCGTTGAATTCCCCCTTTTCCCAGTGGGCCACTAATGAGGGCACTCGTGCGGCTGGCCACCATGAGATGAAGTGGGGGAAACAATAGGCTAGTATCCACGAAAGGCCCAATGAGTCCTTTTCTCCAAGAGCCAAGGTTATAGGCAATTCCATGAGCTCAAGTCATCCGCACAGAGCTACAGCTGCAGAAATGCCAGTGTGAGGGAAGGGCGCTGGCCCTCAGGTACCTCACCATGTGCTGGCATAGGGTCATTTTATTTTTATATTTGGAATTACTCATAATGAAAAAGGCATCTTTGACAAATACTTTTTATATAAATTACTTTTAATGCTTTTTTTTTTTCTGAGCCACAACAGTAATCGTTTAAAAAAAGCTTGAAATAATATTGATACAATCACCACCAAAGGAAAATATACGAATTTTCAATGCAGGCTCTGCTTATCTAGCCTTGCTCAAGTGTGATGCATACAGCACACCGCTCATACATTTAAGGTACACAACTCATTTGCCTTTAGTATAGTGCAGCCCTCACCTACCATCAATTTTAGAACATCCTCCTGGTGCCAACATGAAACCACTCCGCCATGAGCAATCATTCCCCATAATTCCTCAACTGCCCTCTGCCCCTTCCCATAGCACAGCACTGGCAAACAGTGCCTTACACTTTTCTTGGTGCTTTGCCTACTTGGGATATCTGAAATAGCTGGAAACACGTGGTCTTTCCTAATTGGCCTTATCAACACAACATCAGGTCTTCAAGGACTACAGCAATACTTTATTTTTTAATTATTAAAATCTTTATTTGAGGTTTATGGTGACGAATGCTGGCTGATTTTCCAGGGGACCTGGGCTCACAACAACCTGTAACTCCAGTTTTCTTAA